CAAACGAGGCATAAATAAGCCTAACCCCGCCTCCAATAGCCGGCCATTGTATCGCCACTTCCGACGGACGTCGTCCCCCCCCCCCAACGCACTGGACTTATCATGAATAATAATCACGTACATTTTTTTTTTTGGTCAAAATTTTCTGCAAAAAAAAAATAATGATAAAATGACCTTCGGGCCACTAGTGACGATCAATATATTGTATTATCATTACGTATTAATTAATGCAATGTTTCTCTCTCCCTCCACCCAAATTTTTATTTTTTTATCTGCGTCAAAAATGTGTATATATATATATATATATATATATATATATATATATATATATATATATATATATATATATATATCGTCAGAGGAGAGGAGGAGAGGGGGAGGGGAAGGGGGGAGGGGGGGGGGTAATCTCCCCTCCACTTCCTGGTGATGTGAATGAATGTAAGGGGGGAGGGGGGGGGGGTAATCTCCCCTCCACTTCCTGGTGATGTGAATGAATGTAAGGGGGGCGGTAGGGGGTGTTGGGGGGAGGGAGAGGGGGGGGGAAAGAGGATGGAGAGGCATAGGTGAAGGGAAGTATAGAAGTGGGGAATACAGTGAGAGGTATGGAAGCAGGCGGGCTGTCCGCCTTGCTGACACGATGTGTGGGTGTTGGCAGCTAAGCTAAGCTGGCTCTCTCTTGTCATTCATATACACACACACTCAGATGCCCAATATCCACGGTTTATATATATATATATATATATATATATATATATATATATATATATATATATATATATATATATATTTAATATATATATAGTGTGTAATTATAAATATAATTTTTAATTAATATATAATTCTTTTTTGTATGCAATTAATGGGGGAGGGATTTCTGGTCAGTAGTTCATCTGGGAATTATGTACTGTGAGGCGGGGTTTTCATCTTGTAAATTGAGGATTTTGGACCATCAGCTGTGGGAGTGGGGCGTCTCATCTTGGGCCACCAGCTGTGGGAGTGGGGCGTCTCATCTTGGGCCACCAGCTGTGGGAGTGGGGCGTCTCATCTTGGGCCACCAGCTGTGGGAGTGGGGCGTCTCATCTTGGGCCACCAGCTGTGGGAGTGGGGCGTCTCATCTTGGGCCACCAGCTGTGGGAGCTGGGCGTCTCATCTTGGGCCACCAGCTGTGGGAGTGGGGCGTTTCATCTTGGGCCACCAGCTGTGGGAGTGGGGCGTCTCATCTTGGGCCACCAGCTGTGGGAGTGGGGCGTCTCATCTTGGGCCACCAGCTGTGGGAGCGGGGCGTCTCATCTTGGGCCACCAGCTGTGGGAGCTGGGCGTCTCATCTTGGGCCACCAGCTGTGGGAGTGGGGCGTCTCATCTTGGGCCACCAGCTGTGGGAGCGGGGCGTCTCATCTTGGGCCACCAGCTGTGGGAGCTGGGCGTCTCATCTTGGGCCACCAGCTGTGGGAGCTGGGGCGTCTCATCTTGGGCCACCAGCTGTGGGAGCTGGGCGTCTCATCTTGGGCCACCAGCTGTGGGAGTGGGGCGTCTCATCTTGGGCCACCAGCTGTGGGAGCGGGGCGTCTCATCTTGGGCCACCAGCTGTGGGAGCGGGGCGTCTCATCTTGGGCCACCAGCTGTGGGAGCTGGGGCGTCTCATCTTGGGCCACCAGCTGTGGGAGTGGGGCGTCTCATCTTGGGCCACCAGCTGTGGGAGTGGGGCTTCTCATCTTGGGCCACCAGCTGTGGGAGTGGGGCGTCTCATCTTGGGCCACCAGCTGTGGGAGTGGGGCGTCTCATCTTGGGCCACCAGCTGTGGGAGCTGGGCGTCTCATCTTGGGCCACCAGCTGTGGGAGCTGGGGCTTCTCATCTTGGGCCACCAGCTGTGGGAGTCGGGCGTCTCATCTTGGGCCACCAGCTGTGGGAGTGGGGCGTCTCATCTTGGGCCACCAGCTGTGGGAGCGGGGCGTCTCATCTTAGAGTAACCTTTCTAACATTGGGTCCTCTAACATTTCGATGGTGTGGAACACCCTGATGGCTTGGTGCTGCAGTCTGATGTTTAATGGCTGTATGTTCAGGAGTTCATAGAGCTCCTGGATTGTCTGATCATATGGTGGACGGTGTTTTGCTGCTCTCCTTAGCGCCTTATTTTGTACTGCTCGCAGTTTCTGCATGTTAGTTTTCTTTATGGTGTGTAGTGGTACTGGGGGATACTCTAGATGCGGCCGAACTAGAGCCTTATATAGGTGGATCTGAATGTTTGTACTGAGGCTTCGGAATCTCCTCAGTTTTCCTAAGGCTGCTTTGACTTTATTTAGTCGGTTCCTTACGCAAATTTTTATCCCTGTTCTATTGATCATGAGTCCCTGTATTCTGCCTACCTCCGCATATTGGATCGAGCGGTTGTCAAGAATTATGGGGTCCGGGTTTCACTTGGCAACGAGTATTATCTGGAACTTTTGTTTGTGCTAATTTTCAAATGCTTCTGAAAGTTGTTTATGAATTCAATTGTTGCCTTGTTTTAACACCGGTGGGACCTTTGTCACCATATACAGCTCCCCCTCCCCCCTGGGGCGGTGGTAAAGGCGCTCACAGCCCCCAACCCCCCCTGTGGGGGGCCCCTTGTGGTTACACAGCTTATACAGACAGGCACAATAGGAGGCCCCCCTACACACAAGCCTGGACAGACTAACATATATATTAACTGGGTTGAAGAGTGAACCTTCACTCTATGACTGGACCTGTCTATCCCCCCCCTCACCGTCCACTTCCCCTCCCCCTATCCCCCGTCCACTTCACTCCCGTCTCTCCAACTGTTTATTGCTCGACTCTTGAACCTATTCTCAAGCTCTTGTGTATGGATCTCGAGTTACGATTTATTTTGACGTTTATTAAGTTTAATAATAAAATATCATACAGAAGTTCTATTATGTAAATAAACACTCATTACATTATATATATATATATATATATATATATATATATATATATATATATATATATATATATATATATATATATATATATATATATATAACACTGTGTAGTAGTTAAGACAACCCCATCAACAGTCACACTGGGCGAGGAGCGACGTCTAACAGCCTGGTTGACCAAAACGCCAACCAAGGGGGAAGGGGGGGGGGGTGGCCTCGTCAGAGACCGGGCCGAGGGGGCATTAATTCCCAGAATCAACCTTTGCAGTAATAACGGAAGTAATAATGTCACAAGTAATAGTTGTACTTGAGAAGTTCCAACATTCTTTTGCTGACTAAAGCTGGCAGGTGACAGCAAAGACTAAAGTTGGCAGGTGACAGCAAAGACTAAAGCTGCAGGTGACAGCAAAGACTAAAGCTGCAGGTGACAGCAAAGACTAAAGCTGTCAAGTGACAGCAAAGACTGAAGCTGCAGGTGACAGCAAAGACTAAAGCTGTCAAGTGACAGCAAAGACTAAAGCTGCAGGTGACAGCAAAGACTAAAGCTACAGGTGACAGCAAAGACTAAAGCTGTCAAGTGACAGCAAAGACTAAAGCTGCAGGTGACAGCAAAGACTAAAGCTGGCAGGTGACAGCAAAGACTAAAGCTGTCAAGTGACAGCAAAGACTGAAGCTGCAGGTGACAGCAAACCCTAAAGCTGTCAAGTGACAGCAAAGACTAAAGCTGCAGGTGACAGCAAAGACTAAAGCTGTCAAGTGACAGCAAAGACTAAAGCTGCAGGTGACAGCAAAGACTAAAACTGTCAAGTGACAGCAAAGACTAAAGCTGCAGGTGACAGCAAAGACTAAAGCTGGCAGGTGACAGCAAAGACTAAAGCTGTCAAGTGACAGTAAAGACTAAAGCTGCAGGTGACAGCAAAGACTAAAGCTGTCAGGTGACAGCAAAGACTAAAGCTGCAGGTGACAGCAAAGACTAAAGCTGCAGGTGACAGCAAAGACTAAAGCTGGCAGGTGACAGCAAAGACTAAAGCTGTCAGGTGACAGCAAAGACTAAAGCTGTCAGGTGACAGCAAAGACTAAAGCTGTCAAGTGACAGCAAAGACTGAAGCTGTCAAGTGACAGCAAAGACTGAAGCTGCAGGTGACAGCAAAGACTAAAGCTGTCAAGTGACAGCAAAGACTAAAGCTGCAGGTGACAGCAAAGACTAAAGCTGTCAAGTGACAGCAAAGACTAAAGCTGCAGGTGACAGCAAAGACTAAAACTGTCAAGTGACAGCAAAGACTAAAGCTGCAGGTGACAGCAAAGACTAAAGCTGGCAGGTGACAGCAAAGACTAAAGCTGTCAAGTGACAACAAAGACTAAAGCTGCAGGTGACAGCAAAGACTAAAGCTGTCAGGTGACAGCAAAGACTAAAGCTGCAGGTGACAGCAAAGACTAAAGCTGCAGGTGACAGCAAAGACTAAAGCTGGCAGGTGACAGCAAAGACTAAAGCTGTCAGGTGACAGCAAAGACTAAAGCTGTCAGGTGACAGCAAAGACTAAAGCTGTCAGGTGACAGCAAAGACTAAAGCTGTCAGGTGACAGCAAAGACTAAAGCTGTCAGGTGACAGCAAAGACTAAAGCTGTCAGGTGACAGCAAAGACTAAAGCTGGCAGGTGACACCAAAGACTAAAGCTGTCAGGTGACAGCAAAGACTAAAGCTGTCAGGTGACAGCAAAGACTAAAGCTGGCAGGTGACAGCAAAGACTAAAGCTGGCAGGTGACAGCAAAGACTAAAGCTGGCAGGTGACAGCAAAGACTAAAGCTGGCAGGTGACAGCAAAGACTAAAGCTGGCAGGTGACAGCAAAGACTAAAGCTGTCAGGTGACAGCAAAGACTAAAGCTGTCAGGTGACAGCAAAGACTAAAGCTGTCAGGTGACAGCAAAGACTAAAGCTGTCAGGTGACAGCAAAGACTAAAGCTGTCAGGTGACACCAAAGACTAAAACTGTCAGGTGACAGCAAAGACTAAAGCTGTCAGGTGACAGCAAAGACTTAATATCCGACAGTTCTCACAACAGCCTGGCTGTTACTGTGAGCTGTTTATTTAACTACGCAAACACCTCAGCCAAATTATTGTCCTAAGAGACCTTTGAACTAGCTTGGCACTCCTGTCAGGCTTGGCACTCCTGTCAGGCTTGGCACTCCTGTCAGGCTTGGCACTCCTGTCAGGCTTGGCACTCCTGTCAGGCTTGGCACTCCTGTCAGGCTTGGCACTCCTGGCACTCCTGATCGTCGCGGAAAAGCGAGCTATAAAGAGAGAGAGATCAGAAGTGCCTATCAGATCCCATTTGATTCTGTGAATCAAAAGGGATTTTAACAGAGGTTTGAGTATTCTAATATCGAAGTCGAGCCCCATAGCACAGGTGTTGGCACAGGTGTTGGCATAGGTGTTGACACAGGCATAACAACACGGAGTTGAAATGAAATCACATATGACAGAAGCAACAAGTAACTAGAATGTTATTAAATTTAAAGCAGGCGTAAGGAAACAAGATTGAAGAATGAACAAGAGATTCAATGAAACAGGTGAGAGGCTCCATGGGTGAAACACTGATGAGAGAGGGCCCATGACTAAAGTATGGCTTAGGGCCCATGACTAAAGTATGGCTTAGGGCCCATGACTAAAGTATGGCTTAGGGCCCATGACTAAAGTATGGCTTAGGGCCCATGACTAAAGTATGGCTTAGGGCCCATGACTAAAGTATGGCTTAGGGCCCATGACTAAAGTATGGCTTAGGGCCCATGACTAAAGTATGGCTTAGGGCCCATGACTAAAGTATGGCTTAGGGCCCATGACTAAAGTATGGCTTAGGGCCCATGACTAAAGTATGGCTTAGGGCCCATGACTAAAGTATGGCTTAGGGCCCATGACTAAAGTATGGCTTAGGGCCCATGACTAAAGTATGGCTTAGGGCCCATGACTAAAGTATGGCTTAGGGCCCATGACTAAAGTATGGCTTAGGGCCCATGACTAAAGTATGGCTAGGGCCCATGACTAAAGTATGGCTTAGGGCCATGACTATAGTATGGCTTAGGGCCCATGACTATAGTATGGCTTAGGGCCCATGACTATAGTATGGCTTAGGGCCCATGACTATAGTATGGCTTAGGGCCCATGACTATAGTATGGCTTAGGGCCCATGACTAAAGTATGGCTTAGGGCCCATGACTAAAGTATGGCTTAGGGCCCATGACTAAAGTATGGCTTAGGGCCCATGACTAAAGCAGTAAATTAAAAAAGGATTCCGAGACTGAGAAAGGCAACTGATAACATCAGTAGACAGGAAAAACCTTGCTCAAACATATAATAAATTTCTTTATTAAAACGACGAATCCAAATAAGCACTATCTCTGACTTGAAATGTTCTGAGACGTGTATCATATTACCCCTTAACCTGAGAGTCAGACAATGGACAATTCCGGAGTAGTGAGCCAGACACACATCCTAACTGAACGCAATCAAATCTTACCCCCTATATGTATATATCTCCCCTCCCTTATATGGCACCTAGACGCTCTTAATATAGCCAATATATGAGATGAAAAATAACCCATTAAAGTAATTTCACTAGAGCGGCGGCGGGTTTGAAAGTTTAACCAGGCCCTGTCGATATTTATCATGAGCTGAATATAATGATAGAAGAGTCCGCCTCAGGGAAGGGTCTCTATAAGGTGGGGAGGGATAAGGGGGGGATTTATTCGGTCTAGGGGGCCCCTCAGGGACCCGTTGCTCCGTCAGGTGCGACTGACGTGGTCATGATGCTGGGATGAGAGCAGCTTCCTTCTGTACCTCCTCCCGAGGATATCACGCATCGGTTAGCTTTTTGGTCTGAGCTTTATTGGAGGTGATCCGCCGCCAGGTGTAGCCGCTCTCGACACGCTATGTGGCTTAAGTCGAGCCCCTCTGGGTCATCAAGGCTCAGGTGGAGACACCTCTGGCCCCTCTCCACCAAGGCTCAAGATGAGTGGCTGTGACTGCTCCATCATAAAGTCTACCACAAAATATGTGAACCTCACACTTGTTACAGGGCCTTGAGGAACCTCACACTTGTTACAGGACCTTGAGGGTCATGTCTTACTCCAACTAGGCTTAATACGGCTCGACTCCTGTTCCTCTTCTTCTTAAACCCGTCACACGTAGGGGAAAAAAGATTTCCGTTTTGGGCCCCTATTACCTACAAGTAAATATGGGTCTTGGCTGCTATTACCTACCAGTAAATAGGGGGCTTTTCACACTTTTTATGGCTCGAGGAAGAAGATTTTTAAAAGCCGCGTTGTTTATGTCCGCGGTCGTCTGAATTCTTTTGTTTACCGTAGGTACCTGCAGGTAGGTACCTGGCGAGAGGTCCCGACCACCGCCTGCTGTCATGGGTATCATATATATTTATAAATAGTATATATTCCTTCGTCGCCAATACTTTGGACTCACCCACATATATCAAACGAGAATCTGAAGACCCTCATCTAACATAACCTCAGGGAAAGAGGGACATGATGGGGGAAACTAGGTTGAATCGACATTATTGGAGTATGTGTTGTCCTCC